CCCCGGCCGCGGCAGGAGCCGTCACCGCCCCCCGCGCGCCAGCCGCTCCAGGGGCCACAGCTGCCCGAGGCAGCGCCCGGGATCACCCGTTTTCGAAGCAGCCCCTGGCAGCAGCCGCCTCCGCCGCAGCACCGGCGGCGAGGACGCGAGCCCGAGGGCGCAACGGGGCTTCCCGGGGCTCCGGCACCGGAGGGGGACCCGGAGGAGGAGGACGGGGGCGCGGCCGGGCAGCGGATATGCGGCCGGCCGGGGAGTAGCCACAACGGCAGCGGAGACGGGGGCGCTGCCGCCCCGAGCGCCCGACCCCGGGACTTCCTGTACGTGGGGGTGATGACCGCGCAGAAGTACCTGGGCAGCCGCGCTCTGGCGGCGCAGCGAACCTGGGCGCGCTTCATTCCCGGCCGCGTGGAGTTCTTTTCCAGCCAGCAGCCCCCCAACGCCGGGCCCGGTCAGCCCCCGCCACCCCTGCCTGTCATCGCGCTGCCGGGGGTGGACGACTCCTACCCTCCTCAGAAAAAGTCCTTCATGATGATCAAGTACATGCACGACCACTACCTGGACAAGTATGAGTGGTTCATGCGCGCCGACGACGATGTCTACATCAAAGGTGACCTCCTGGGTTCGGCCTTCCGGCTTGCCCGCTTCCCCGACTCCTTTCTGTGCAGCCAACCCCAGCCCCTGCCCAGACCCTCCTCTGTTTCTCCCCAGCACGTGCTCCTGGCTTCCGCAGCCCCTGGCTTGGCGTCGCCACCCCTCGCCTCCGCCCATCATTCCTAACCCGCTCCTCCTCTCCTCCTGCAGTCTGGACTCTCCTCATACCTGCCCGGTTTCAGTCTTTTCCCTCACTCTCGCTGTCTTCGGTTCTGCCTATCCCATGTCCCTAGCCTTTACCGTGTGGGAGAGGCGAGGACAGGGACCCTAGAGCTAAACCAAAGGCCATACCCGCTCCTCTGAAAGCTCCGGGTGGAGGTGGCTTTCAAATCGGTCCAGAGGGGTGTGTCTTTGGCGGAGGAAGGGAATACGGAGGATGCTGGCTAGAGCCAGTCTGGAGATCCAGCGTTCTTGCTTTGAATCTTGCTCTTTTGTTTAGACTGGATCTAGCGCACTTTTGGAATTGTTGAGATTGAGGAACCATCTTCGCTGTTCGGGACCCTTCCCTGTGCGCGTCCGTCCCTTTGGCACTACTCTCTCCACACCCTGGGAGTCCTTGCACACCCTCGCCGCCCCAGAGCTCTGTTCTTCGCGGCCACCACAGTCAGTGCAGAACCAAGCCATCCCCCGTTCCCTCTCCCCGCCCCCTCCAATAAAACCCCGAGAGGATGGACGTATTGTTAAGAATTGGTGGCGGGGAAGAGGAGGAAGCACTCGCTGATTAACCAGACCTGGGGACTCCAGGCTGTACTATTCCTTTCAGGGCATCTTGGTGGCTGCAGTGATAAGCAGGGGCTAAGAGTCCTTCCCGGAACCGCAGGCAGCCACAGCATGAGAGAACTTTCTTGTCAATTTTAAAAGAGGCGCGGTCTTTTTCCCGGAGTGTGGGTGGCTCTGGCCAGAGAATTTGTAAACTCAGCGGATGAAAGTTTCTTAGGTCAGAGAAGTAAATCTTTCCAGTCCAGCCATTGCCGAGACTGGGAAAAACTCGAGGGACGCGGCAGGGTTTATATGAGGAAGGTTTGTCTGTGCTCTCCACATTTCCTAGCTTCTTGGTCAAAGGGGGGCAGCCCTTCCTTAGTTTATGCCTCTCTGCTTGTAGCTCCATTGCCTTCTCCTGATCCAGCTACTACCTTTCACATAATGCAAGAAAAAACAAAACAAAGCTAACAAGCATCAAGCCAAAAAATAAACCTCAGTTGTTCCGTGTTGGCACACGGAGTTAGATGTATCGTTCATAACTAAAGACCTGTTGGGTTTGGACTGGAAGGAGTGATATTACTGTAGGGCTGATGGCAGTAGGAAATACTGATGATTGGATACAAAAATAAAGAATGGTCTCTTATTACATAATAATAATGGTATTTAGAATTGCTTCAAAGGAAAAAACTTTCTCTTACCTTATGGTACCTTGTCTTCTGTGTCTCAAAATCACCAGGGTTTCCTGGCAGAAGTTTGCCACATTTTGCAGTAAATTTCTAAAATGCATTTAGCAGCATCTACTTCTGTCGTGTATTTTAATACTTTGAAAGATTGTCCTTCATAACCTTGAACTGCCGTATTTCTATCTCTATTAAGAATGAAACACATTTTGTATTAAGAACTCAACAATGTCTGACACTCATTGAAAACAGTGGGCAAGGCACAGGATCAGGATGATGACTGCAGACACCATGCTCATCATAAATTATGGTAAAGATGCTGGCTGGGACTATGAGGAAGGTGATACTTATTCCAATGTGTCACTTCGTAGAACACCACATGCTTTTGAACTGTTTTAGCTATAAAATTTTTCCTGATTAACTTACAAACTCCAAGTGAAAGCAATTACATTATTTAATTTTCAACAGATTTTTAAAGGTGCCTTCTCAAGTTAAGTTTCAAGACAAGTTTGATTAAAATACCCTCTAAAACTATGTGGGTTGTAAACAATTAAAGTCTAGTTAATGGCAAACACAGAACTAAATCAATGATGAGGAAAAAATTAGTTATTAGACATCCAGAGTCTGCCAAAACAATGTTAAATCAATATTTAGTATTATTTTATATTTCTCGGATTTTCTTATTACTTAATTGTGCCAAGAAACCTGTATTCATTCTCCTTTTCGTTATTTCACCTTTTATAGAAAGTTTATGATCATCAGACTTGTTAAAGTTTTGTAGTGACCTTGACAAGAAGGTGATCAAATGTTATGTTTTAATGAATAACCACAAGTCTTTAAAATTTATAGAATACTGGGAAAGGTTTTTCTTCATTTCAATTGCATAAGACTTATGGGCAGTTTAAGCACCACGTTGAAAGTTCTGTCTCTTACCTTATACATTGTAAGTGATTAGGAAATAAGATATAGTAGTAATTGTTGCCTTTCTCTTCGTAGGTGATAAGTTAGAAGAGTTTCTTAGATCACTGAACAGCAGCAAGCCTCTCTATCTGGGGCAGACTGGCCTGGGAAATATTGAAGAACTTGGAAAACTGGGGCTAGAGCCTGGAGAGAATTTCTGCATGGGAGGACCTGGCATGATCTTTAGCCGAGAAGTTCTCAGGAGGATGGTGCCACATATTGGTGAATGCCTTAGAGAAATGTACACAACTCATGAGGACGTGGAAGTTGGAAGATGCGTTCGCCGTTTTGGTGGGACTCAGTGTGTCTGGTCTTATGAGGTAAGCCTTGAGCTGTGATGACAATGTTCACATATTACAGGTGCATGGCATTTTACAATCTGGGTCAGCAATTCTGTTTATTCTCTCTGTATATTGATATTTACTTGAAATTGATAGTAGCAGCCTTTTATGGATAGAAGACTGGTTTTGGGAGATCAGTCTTAAAGGTCTAAGGTCTATCTATGGCTTTGTTATTAGAGTGATCCTTGATGTTAAGGAGCAGTCTGCATATATGGTCACATCTATGGAAGATGCTATTTTTGCCTTTATTGGTTTTGTTGGTGTTTAAATACATGTGTGTCAAATTCCTGTCTCTATTAGGAGGACTGATTTTATTATTCTCAGTTGTAGCATTTAGCATTTTGTAGTATTCCTTGTTTTTGCTGTTGTTACGTATAATGGCACCTCTATGTTTTTAAATAGTTAAAATTTGAAGTTTCTTTGAAGATTTTTCAAATGAAAATTCAATATATCTTTTAAAACATAGGAAAAATTAATTAATAAAGTATGATTTATGATAGATTTATTCACAGAATTTTAATGACTTCAATAATTTGTTGGTTATCTAAAAGGAATGAGTTATCTGGAAAAAAACCCAGAACTTTGAAGGTGTTAACTTAAAATAGTAACTGCTTACTATTGTGACAGTTTCCTGGAATTTGTTTATATCTGACCCTATGCCATTTTCTGAACAGCAACCATCACTTAAATATCTGAGCTATTTATTTATTGCCATAATTTGTTTCATGGAATAATCTGGGGTTGTTTTCCTTCAAAAATTGATTTTTAAATGAAATAAAGTTTTATTTAAAATACATTTCATAAATGATAATCTTAGTAAAAATAAATTTAACATTTAAATAACATATTGTAGTTTTCAGTATAATTTAGTTTGCAAGTGATTACATCTTAATATTATTTTAGCTACCCATTGCATACCTTTGCAAATTATATCTTGATTCATTTTCTTACCTCTTCAAATTTTTCATGTCATTTAGTATAGAAAAAACATAAAAATGTTCTCTGTGAAGTCATTGTACTTCAAAGTTACAAAGTTCCATTTTGTTTTTCTTTTAGAAGTATAAACCCAGTTTAGTAAGTTTTACTTTCTTTTTATACATTCTGTTATTTACACTTTGGAGGAATATTTTGTATATTTATTATAGAATGTAAAATTATTTGTAACTAATTCTTTGGAATAAGCATTATGAAAATTAAAACGATTGTTTAGCTAATTCTTTTTTATAATAAAATTTTAATTTTTATTTTATATAACTATTCTACAACTACCTTTAGAATAAAAATTTATGCAAAATGTTAGAGTTTAAATATAATAATTTAGAATAAGATCAATTCAAAAAGATTTCTCTTTATTTGATATACAACTAAGTGAAAGACAAAAATAATTATTTGATATAGGTGACATTCAGTTAATTTTGTTTACATGAATGTATTATTCTGCAGATATTTATTTTGTAGGGATGAGTTAAATATACTAATCAAAATTAACAACAGTTAACAATAAAAATGGAAAGCTATTATGTCTTATATGATACTTTATTACCCTAACATCACATATAAAATGTTAACAACTATTTTGTTTAAGTATCCTCCCTTCAATTTCTTATTGATTCTGCTGTGAAGGTTTAACCTTCACCTAGCATTTTCCATTCGTGTTATAAGACAGTGAGAAATGCTCAAGTGACCTATGAACTTAAGTTGATTTACTATTTTGCTTATATAATAGGCATTTGTTATGGGTGAAGTGAAGTTACCATAGATGTGCATTTTCTCTGTTAGAGTAAGTGTAATTTTAAATCCTTTAACTGATGTAGATGAAGAGACAAACAAAAAAGATTCTGTCTTTTAGGTTGTAACTTGGTGAACACCATATTTTCAGTAACTTTTCAAAATACATTTGAATTTAGACTGACATTTGTCCCTCACTGACTTATAAATCTGTATAAAATGAATCCTTTCAATATTTTTTCTAACACTTAATAATATTTTCTAGAGGAGTAGTGTTGTAAAATGTTGACTTTCTGTCATAGTACATAGTACACATAATGCACTTTGTTTTAAAATGTTAGTCTTTAAAGGAGCTATGTAAACAGTGTTTATTTAAAGGAGGCATTGATTTAACCCTAATATAAAGTCTTAAAAGTCTTATGAAAAGAAACTACGGCAAATTTTATTGCCAGATGTATTAAATAACATCCATTAATAAAATTAGTAAAGATAAATATACCAAAAACTTACATTTAGGAATTTTAATACTAGGGTATGTTCTGTGTTTCATGAGATACTTGATTAGGTCAGTAGGCCACAGCTAAACTAGTGTATGTTGTACACAAATACCATAGATTACTTTCTAGCTAGGATTTTGTGTTAGTTGAAATGGTGTCCATATATTATACCATTCATATGTATTATGTAGAAAGATCGATCTACTCTACTCTAAGTTGGCATCCTCAATAAAGGTGAGAGTTCACATCTGGTCATAGAAAAAGCTATGAGATTGATCATTCGTTTTGTTTCCATATTTCTTTTAAAAGAACCATCTATGATGTAACTTTCCTAAAATTTTAAATTTCCTTTATGCATACCTTATTCATATTTTAGGATTTTGTTTGGGTTTTCCTCCAATAAAACTTCTTTCAGATTTGAGATTATGTTATGGAAGCATATTCATAATTTTTGAGTTTGAATAGGTGAAACATATATAATAGAATGTTACCTTTTTTAAATGGTGAATAGGCATGTGCTCTTTTAGAAAGAGAATTGGACAAATTAGTAAATAAAATATATAGACTGTGCAGTTTTTCTTGAATATAAATTATATTTTTGTAATATCTAGGAATGAGTTTTCTAGTATTCTTCTTTATTGTTAAATTGAAGTCTCTGTCTCTATGTTGTATATACAATTAAGAATATATATATATAGTGTGTGTGTGTGTGTGTGTGTGCGCGCGCGCACGTGCATGTGAGTAAGAGGCAGGGGGAGAGAGGGGGAGAGAGAGAGAGATAGAGAGAGAGAGAGAGAGAGAGAG